ATTATTTAATATTTAAATATTCATGTCTCAAGTCGAGCGCGCTCCGCGTGCGGAATGTCAATCAGCTATTTGCAACCGAGAATAAAGAGACGTTCATTCTCGGTGGCTTGGACAACGGGTGGGGCAATTTGCATTTGTTGTTAGTGGATCTCCAACTAAATGGAATTGTTTGTCAATATGGGAACTTGTGCTGTCTGATCTGTGCGCGTTGCCAGCGGCTTCCTTGCGAATTCCATGCCTAAATCTACAATCAACAGAAACACCTTAGCAAATTAGTCATAATTAAATATTGTTAAATTACAGCTCAGCGCAAATTTATTATACAACGAGACGAGCACACAAAAAAATTCGCGTAACTTTAATAGCTTGAGAAAACAGCATTACTTTGATTGTCGGATAAACAAAGTAGAGACTGTTCCTAGCTATGTTTTACAGGTAAAAGTATATATTATATAGTATAGTATATAATATATTGAGAGTTCTCGCTGGATACACGTTTGATTATTTCTACTACAAACAAATAAATAAAAAAACTAATTCTGATTGCCGACTGGCACTGACTTTTTTAGATAAGTTAACACTAAAACGGATTGTTTTATTGTTTGCACTGCAAATTGTGGTTCATAGATCTCAAGGCTGGCATGCAGAGTTAGTTCGAGCTCGCTTCAGCATTTTTTATAGCATATATTTGTACTATAACTAATTGTTAGCAACAAAATATACTGGTAAACTATCAAAATATACATTGATTGCCCGAAAAACAGGACTATTTAAACGAGTTATTTATGTAGAACTTCAACAAGATTGTCCATCAATAAAGATAAAATAATAATAAGAAATACCCTCTGCACTCGCGCATAAACGACCAAAGCAGAGCTGTGGCGAGTAGGCGTCGCAGATCATCGATTCCATGCCACGCAGGTGCCAAGCCGTATTAAACAAAAACGGATTTATAACTATTAGACTAAAAAATATGTGTAAAACATAATATTTGAGGCTTGACGAATATTAAATCGCTTTTTTACATTTTTTTGATGAATCAAATTTTGTTAATTGGAATTTTTAAAAAATGTATGTTTATCGTATGTTTCAGTTCGATTCGAATTGTTTTTAAAATATTGTATATATACCTGAATTGTGTTGTCCAACTATTTCTTGGAACATAACTTTATATGTCTTTATCTAATCATATAATTGATAATAAGCAAATTCTTAAAGAAATTTACTCTTTTTATGATATGTATATTTGCGACTTCAATTTAAATTTCATTCATACAGAAGGTTGTTGGCATTTACCAAACGAGAGTAAAAGGGAGATAAGGGATTCAGAAGAAAAGCGAGATATGCTCAAACAAATTAAGTTTGCTAATGATTTATCGATTATATGGAAATTACATTTAATTTAAACATGCGCATCCTACAGGAGTATCTACATATGGCACGTATGTAAAATTTCTTAGATTTCTTGGAAGCTGTGAGCTTTGGCAGAAGGCAGAAAAGGGCAAGATTAGTCTGCTGTTGCTGCTCCTCAGTACAAATGCTTTAACTGCTATTTAAATTTCTACTAAAATCACTGTACACTCTTTGGTAATTTTCAATGCCAATTTAAAGGTTTGTTTTTGTTTGTTTCGTGTCTTATGCGCATGACAATTAGTCTCAGAAATAGAAACCAAGCAAAGTCGGGTAATTTCCACACCATTAGAATAAGCTTTAGAATTAGTAATTTGCGCAAAATTAACTTTAATTGCATAAGTTTGACTACAATATGTAAGTGCTATCGAGACAGCACAGGCAAGCGCTCATTAGACCCACACTGGCGACTCACAATGACCAATCAATGAATTGTCAAAAATGCGCTTAGATCACATTTTGCACATTTATCCGATGGGGCTGAGCACATTCTGATCGACGCGCACTCGTATGACTGGTGCAAAACTTTGAACTTCAATTTGTTAGCATACACTAAGCTATTCAAATACAATTTTTTGTTTTTGTTAGCACTTTCTTTTTATTTTAGTTTTAGCCGCGCTGCGAACACACGTTGTTGACTTTGTTGTGTGGATTCCTTGCGCGGTCAACTGCTTCTTTGTTGTATTTGTTTATATTGACGTCATTAAAAATATCTAAAAAACTATTTTTGTTTTTTTTTTTTTTTTTTTATTAATAATATGTGTCAATAGGCACGACAAAGGAAAACAAAAGAGAGAGAAAGAGAGGGAGAGAGTATGAGATGTCGAGTTGAATGTTAATTATTTTGTGTTTCAACCGGCAAAAATGATAATTAAACACTTGGATTTTTTTCTATTTATTTGTTTGGGTTTGTTAATTGCACTGCACTTCACTGCGCTGAGAACTTTTTGTTTTTTTTTGCTTATAGAAATATACATATATTTGTTTATATATATATTTATATAAGTTTGTTAGCGCACGCACTTTGCCGGCTCTCAACTTAATTGCACATAAATTAAAGCGTCAACAGAAGAACGCGCGCTTTGTCGTTTATTATAATCAACAATTTCTAGACACACACACACGCCACATGCAGCACAATTAACTATTTAAGAAAAAAAACTTTTTTAGAAATCTTTTTACATGTGTTTTTTTTGCGCATGCGCGTCGTTTGGTTTTGCTGCTGCTGCTGCTGGTTGTTCGCGAGTCAACGAACGAATTCGTAATGAGCCACGATGACAGCCACGAGGCAGCTTCTTGACGATCGACGTGTCGTCGCTCAGGTGTTGCTTCTCAGGTATTTCGACATGCGAGCGCAGCTTGTGAGCCGAGCCATGCACTGTTTGTCGCATGCGATATTTTTGCCCAGTTTCATATAAAAACTTAATTTCTTGTAGAGTGTTAATTAAATATTATTGTTTACTATTTCAATTTAGATTTTATGCTCGGCTTTGAGAAGCGTTAATTTAATTTATGAAATTTGAGATTAGGTAGTCAGCGGCAGCTCCAGTAAATCAAGGGCTTTATATTTATATATATAGATATATTATAAACACACATCAGCCACATTTTACGACTGCTTCGAGTCTACTGATAATATCTGAAGTGCGTTTTAAATGCACATCAAATCGTTTTCAGTCTCTTAAAAGCGTAAATAGTTTGCTTAATAAATTTATAATAAAACCTTAGTTTTCATATTCAATTCCGGCTGAGCTCAATTAGTTTTGTATGAAATCATATTTTGGGTAAAACATTTAGTCATTTGAGTACCTGAATTACGGTTAAGGGCTTCAGGCGAAAGCTTCGCTAAAACCTAAATCAATTTTTACACAATGTTTGCTGTTAATTGATTGAGACAGAATGCACAAATCGAAGGTTGTTGGGTTCGGTGCGGCTATAGCCAAATATTTGAGCCAAGCGCAGCAGAATGCTAGTTAATAACTAATCGTGGCTAAATTAAATAGCAATTAGGCCGTCGCGCTGAGTTAATTGCGTCTTGGAAAGCGCTTGTCCTAAATTGCTGGCATTTTGCAAGGGCAACAAAGTGTTCGCTGGTCGGAGGCAGGGCCACCCAAAACTGGTGGCTGGAGACTGGGTTGTGGTGGCGGGCGTTGCGTAATACGCCCAAAAACGATAATTGCTGTCATGACAAACGCAAAAATAAAGTTTAAATAATAATAATTTCGCTGGCTCCTGCAATGAGCGCGGACAGGGAAACATTAAGAAACCATTAGCAGCAGAAGCAGCAGCAGCAGACATTCGTGGCCTCCGCTAAATAGTGAAGCTGGCTACTGCAACAGCTGCTGTTGCTGCTGGTTGAGTGGTTCAGTGGCTGCAGAGAAGGGTCAATGCAGTCGACCGTCGAGCAAGAGCAGCGACAACGGCATCATTTTTCAAGTGCCACCACTCGACAGTCGCATGAGTGGGCGGCTTGAACTTAGGCGGGGTCGGGTCGGGTTGGGTCGCCTCAAATATGCGCATTCATTAGAGTTTAATAAATATTTTTTTTGTCGAGCACACTCGCTGGACTCTTTGAAGAGCGCTGCGGTCAAAGGGCTGATGGCGGTGCTTGTAATTGCCGTCAACGTTTAGCAGCTGCCTCAATGTGTCAAGTTGTGGCTTAAACAAGGCTTAAGGACGCTTTCACATGCAGCGAGCCCATATAATTTTTTGACAGCTTCGTATTCGTAATGTTAAATGCAAATTTGAAGCTTCAGATTGACGGTCAATTGTTCCAATCACACGCTTGTCAAATATTAGCACCGTCTCGCCTGGCGCAGTTGACCGCAAGGTTGTTTAGCTGAGATCCATTGTGGACTTAGTATTTTGTATTTGATATTTGGTGTTCATGTTTGTGCTCTTCGCACTCTTTTCGCACGTCATTTTCGATTTTTCCAGTGCGTTTTGTGCAAAGTTTATTTGCTATGTGTGCGTTTGTTGGCGCTTCGGCTTCAAATACTAATTACTGCGCGTTGCTGTCTCACCTATTTTCCATTCCAAGTCCAACTAATTGCCGCTTTAATAAGCAAACAGTAATGGCCAAAAAAGCATAAACAATACATCTGCCAGACAACGTGACGTATGTGCAATATTTTTGAACGCCTTTCAAACCTATCGCATGCTATTTAAAATATACCAAAGCCTCACTCACGCTTGCTCTCATTCGCTCTCTCTCTCTCTCTGTGAATCTTTGAGTCTCGCGAGCGTTTCTCTCACTCACTCAGGCCGCGTTCTCTTTCGTGACTGCGCTCAATGTCAGCGTCTTGTAAAAGTTGAATGAATTAAAAAAAATATATAAACCGTCTTGGCGTACGGGTTCAAGTTTGTTTTTCGGCTGTCGCATGGCCGGTTATTGGCTATTTTCGATTTCATTGCTTAGAGCCGCACTGAAGGTCGCCGAACAAGTTCTTCTGCTGCGGAATGTTATCAATGTATGTTGGCCATGAGGCTCGACAGACAGACAAACAACAAACTCGTTGCGGTTGCAGCTTTATGTTGTTGGGCGCTTAATTGACGAGTTCCTTATTGCATCATTTGAACGCCTTTTACAGATCCCTGTCTATACATTATGCGCTTCGCCAACCGACTGCAGCTGGGCCCCAAGACCCACGAGGTGTCCATGACGGCGCTGCGCATTGTGCAGCGCATGAAGAAAGACTGCATGCACTCGGGACGCCGGCCCACTGGACTCTGTGGAGCGGCGCTCCTGATTGCCGCTCGCATGCACGAGTTTAGCCGCACGCTTGCGGATGTGATCGGTGTGGTCAAAATACACGAGTCAACGCTGCGCAAGCGCCTGTCTGAGTTCGCCGAGACTCCGTCCGGTGGCCTTACACTAGAGGAGTTTATGACCGTCGACTTGGAGCGTGAGCAGGACCCGCCCTCGTTCAAAGCGGCGCGTATCAAGGATCGCGAGCTCATACAAAATGTAAGCAAATCACGTATATAAACATTATCTACTTTAACTAACTTCTCCTCATGCATATAGATGGGCGTGCATGAGCTCACCGAGCTGCAGAAGGAGATCGATGCACATTTGGAAAAGGATATTGGCAAATACACTGAGAGCATGTTGCGAAAAGTGACCAAAGGCAAAGTCGAGGACTCTGCAGAAGCAAAGTCAAGCAAATGTATGCAGAAATCGGAAAAGGAGATCGAAATGGAGGAGTCTAGGCAATTCATTGAGGCATCCAATGCCGAGGCTATCAAAGAATTTATTGCAAACAATACGGACTCGGACTCGGAGTTGGACACCAAGCCACAGAGCGCTATGGCCAGCGTTATTGAGGGACTGCGTCCCGACATCGAAGCTATTTGCCGAGTCACTGAAAGCGAATTGGAGGATGTGGAGCGGGCTAAGCAGCCAATGGCGACGGAACTATTTGTTGACGACTTGAATGACGATGAGCTGGATCAGTATGTGCTGACAGAGGAGGAGGCCGACACCAAGCTAAGCATGTGGAAGAATTTGAATGCTGAGTTTTTGCGCGAGCAGAAGGAACGCGAGGAGCGAATGGCCAAGGAGCGTGAGGAGGGCAAGCCCGAGAAGAAAAAGCGAAAGCCGAGGAAGAAGGTCATTGGACCATCGTCCACAGCTGGCGAAGCCATTGAGAAGATGCTGCAGGAAAAGAAGATCTCTAGTAAGATAAATTACGACATTCTAAAAACCCTCACTGAAGGCATGGGCTCATTTACGAGCGAGGGTGAGATATCAGCGGAGGATCCCAAACCGAAGACGCTGGATGAGCTAGCACAGACGCCCGCTATTGTGGAGGACGGTCCGATTTCCAGTAAGCAAAGCCGCGGCAAACCAAGCTACGATATGCCCGGACCCAGTCGAAAGCGTGTCAAAGTAGAGGCCGGTCTGCCTGTCAGTCAAGCAGAGGAGCAACTGGAGGCCAAGCCGGAGATTACCCTAGAAACAGGTATGTCCAGAGCTGTGTGCTTATGGCTGACAGACTCATCTCTATCTTCTTTTCGTTGTAGACGAGTTGGACGAAGATGCTGAGGTAGATGAAGCTGACGCCGAACCGGAGGCAGAGCCAGAGGCTACGTTGCAGGACATGCTGAACCAGGGCGCTGGCGACGAAGACGATGAGTACGGCTACGGCTTCGACGAAGAGGAGGAGTACTAACCACAGCGACATGCATGACATGGCATTTAGCATTATGGCACATTCTGTATGGTCATTTTTGTACCCAAATTGATAATCAGCAACTACTCATAATCTAATTAAATTAAGCTTTAAATTTACAACCATCTTTTCCATCATCTTCGTTGTCTGTTTCTTGTTACACTCTGCACTTGTTGCAGTTCCTCTTTCTCCTTTTGCGTGTTAGCAGCCATTAAATCATCGGTCCCTCTCGCCCTGCGGCCTTAGCGCAGCCATTTACATGTTTAAGCCGTGTTGCCGTTGCCCTGGCCGTTGCCTTCTGGCTCAAGTGGAACAAGGCAGAGTCGAGGTTTTTCGCTGCTTTTCTGTTGCTAGTTTGCTTCTAATTGTTGGCGCTGCCGAGGCGCGCCTGCAAGTGCTGCAAATAAATATTTCACTCTTAATCATGTTTTGCACTCGCTGTGCTGTGTGCGCCTGCCTTTGTGCTTGTTGTTTTTGTTGCTGCGCCCTAGGCGGCCAGACGACCAGCCGACCAGCCAAGAACTTGACTTGGCTGCTCGCCTCACGGCTTCACGGTTTCACGGCCTGGCAGACTGTTGAGTGCCAAGTGCCCGCAATGAGCTGTTGAGTCCTTGGACCACTTGTCTTTGCGATTTTATAGTTATTATGTTGTAATTAGTGTTAATTTAGTTGCTTGCCAAAGTTAGTGAACAATTCGCAAAGTGCTTCATACTTTTAGGCAGCTGCAATATTTCGAAATCTGCTTTAATGCAAAAGCTCTTTCGGATCATCTTGAATGCCTTAGGTCTTAAGCACATTGGCTGGCGACTTTCAATACTATTCCTTGGGCTTTAATGAAGCTGAAGTCTCATGCAGCCAAACTAATGCAACACTAATGGGTATACTTAGAGAAGCTAGACTATATACACATGTACATTGCTCGCTTGTTCCTCTAGTCTGGTAATGGGCCTGTGTTGCTGCGCTGATAAACGGCCTTGTCTCAGAGGGTGAGGTCGTAAATATTAGCAATGGGTTAAGGAGTCGTGGAAACTTGCGTGCATTTAATGCCTGAGCGGTAATTTGCATAAGCATCGGGCTTAAAGCAAGTCATTAATAAAACGCACACGTCCACTTCTAACTTGGAGTGCTGTTAAATCAATGGGCGTGGCGTCGACAGTGACAGTGACAGTGGCTTAGCTGGCCAACGGCCAACGGCCAACTTCAAATAATAATGTCAAATGTATGCACATGTAAATCCAGCTAAATGCGACAGTCAAATGGGAATTAGTAAGGCAACTCCTTCTCGACCCGCCAGACACTTAAAAGTTGGCTGTGGATGGATGTGTGGCTGGCCAGAGAGTGTGCAAAGAATTGCTTTAATAGTTGGAGCAAAGCCTTTGATGTGCATAATTCTAGCATAATACGTTCATTAATTATTAAAGCTATGAATTTGTAAATATTTCATGTGCAGCACAATGCTACTGTATGCCTTTATCAACTGTCCGCTGTGGTGCTTTAATTAAAAAATTCCTCGATATATGCTATATATGGAAAAACATGTTTACTTACGTTAATGTGTTGTGCATCTGTATATAATGGCTGCGTTTTATAGTTGTATATATTTTAATGCAATTTAATTAAAAAATTACCCAAGCAGAAGCCATTTTTATTGTTTTTCGCAACAGACAGTCGGGTCTCACCTCACTTTACACTTTATTTGCGGATTTGGCCAGCTCTATTATTAATTGTGACGACCGCAAGTTGCGATTGGCAGAGTATGTAAATGCACGTCAGATCCAGAGCCAGAGATCAATTTGAAAATTATTTCAAAATGAACTTTAATTAAAATTATATCCCCCTAAGTGCTTGATTTCCTTCCATTTACGTGGCATTTACTGTCAATCTCTTAAAGCGTTAATATTAAATTGCATTAAGTATACGCCACGTAGGAATTAAATTTTTGCCAACTATTAAATTTACATTTGCCAATCCAAAAATTGATTAATTTGGCGTGATTTTCATAATATATATATCTCTTCTATATTAGGCAGAACTTCAATTTTGTTAAGCTTGATTTATTCCATTTCACAAATACACATAAATGAGTTAGGCAATGCGTGCGCGTGTGTGTGTGTGTTATTAGTGTATTCTCATTGTGAGTGTGTCTGTGAGTGTATTCTAATTTATGCGCTAATTATGTATGTTGGGTTTGCTATTTTGTATTTGGTGTGTTCCGGGGCTATGAATAAATTAAAAGCTTTTTACCCAGCTACCTGCCAATTAATTAGGTTACTAAATGATTTGTTTAGCAATTTGTTTCCATATATCCACTGTGGTCTATGACACTTTAGCGAGCGATTGGGTGGCTGGATGACTGCATAAAGGGCTTTAGAAATTCAGATAAAATGGGTCAAATTTGAAATTTATTGTAAGTATTTGCGTTGCTTTAAAGTGCTACAAAAATGTATCTATGAGAATCATAGATAATATCATCTATTTACTTATGAATAAATACTAGCTCAGGTTGACTTACTTCGGAGATTACAACTGAGTCTTGCGGACATAGCTAGAGATACACAATCTATAAATCCGGCTTGTTTGGTGAGGTGCTTAAAGTGTCTTTATGCAAATGCTACTGGGCTGCTGTCAATCAGCTAACGTTTGCACACAGGCGATGCTCAATAGTAGGCAACGGAATGCAGTTGCGACTGGCGGTCACTGATAACGGAATAGCAGTTGAAGTAGCCAGCAAATGACCAAGTCATGGCTGCAGACTGCAGTGAGCAGCAGGCAATGCCGTTAAGTGTTGGTCAACTGGCAAAACACACACACACATACACATACGCAGGCATAGTTTGCGTAGCAAAAGCAGTTAACAGACTATTTCCAGCTGCCTAGCAGGCAAAGCATAAGCCCACAAGCACATTCGCACACAGACACACGTATTGGCATAAATAAACCACGTACATTTCGGCCTGCATGCAAATATGCAGTAATAAAGTAAATAAACGCTTACCACCCGCCATTATGTCGCTGGCAGCAACAAACACGCACAGACACAAACTTACAGATATGCGAGCGAAGTGTGTGTCTGTGTGAGTGTGTGTATTGAACATAAAGTGCCTGGCAAACTATGCACGGCTATGATTGCAAAACACGACTGCAATTACCTGGCCTGCCGGGCAACACACTTTCACACACACAGAGAAGCACTGACATGCTCGCGCCTGCATTTATGACAGCAGCTTGGCTGGGGGCGCCGCAAAGTAGGCAACGATAATGGCATAAATTCAATGAATAAACATAAAACGGCAAGCACATAAAGAGCATACGCGTATGTGTGTGTGTGTGAGTGTGTTTGTGTATAGCCATAGGAGCAACAACTGTAACAACAACAAGAGCAGCAGCAGCATCCGCATAGCAGTGGAAAAATATGTATTAGCCCAAAGTTTACTAACAAAATTAATTATGCGAATTAAGCGTAGTAAAAGCACTTTAAGCAAGTTAACCCCAAGCCGAACGCCCAGTCCTCGCCACACCCTACCATTTATAACATGTGCCGCATTTTGTGCCGTGTCACAGTCCATAGCACAGGAGCAGCAGCAGCAGCAGCAGCAGCAGCGTCGGCAAAGAGTGCGAGGCATTGTTCAATTTATGCGTGTATGGTCTGTACTCTTCAGTTGTTGTTGTTGTTGTTCGTGCTATGTTGGGTGTATTGTGTTAGCCAGCTAGTAGTTTGCGGACACAAAAGTAGGCCAAGCATCCAGGAGCCGGGCTGGGACTCGGACTACAGCTGAAACTCGAACTGGATTGCAAGCCAGCAACTGCCGTTGCCGTTGCTGCTGCCGCTGCTGTCGCCTAGAAGTTGTTTATTTAAGTGTGAAATTTGAGTGCAGCGCTGCGAAATGTGTAAGACCCAACGACGAATATTTAGCGTTATGTGCGGCAGCCGAGATAAGCGACGCGGACCTTAATAACCGACGCGTTGCGAATTCCCATAATCATAAATCGACTTGCCGTTCGCCTGCCACATATTAGATAACAGACAAAAAAGAAAATACATGTCGTGGGCGCCGCAAAAAAATGTTGCACTTTTTTCTTTCTGTGTTGCAAGTGCACAATATGAAAAACACAAAAAAAAATAAGGAAAAAAGAATTAAAAGCTAACTGTTACAAACGGCTTTTCGGCGCCATCGCCAGCCGTACGAAATAAAACAAAATGGCGGCGCTCTGCTGACGCCAGTTGGCAGCGCTGCCTTTGGCTGCTTGACGCCATGCCAAATTAGCTAAGAGTCGGGCCAGTCATTTAGTTAATTGCAGCACAGAAATGTCGCGTTGACTTGGCAAGCTCACTAAATCACACAGCTGCGTTTTAAATTGAAAACATAAATATCGCCAAGTATTAGTAGCGAAAAAACACGCACTATAACCGTTAGTTAGTTGCCTTTTTTTTATCACTTTTATTGTAAATATTGCCAGTTAAAATTGAATTTTAAGTGCTGCGTAATTGTGGCTTCAAGTATCAATTTAAACAACCGAGTGCCATGAGGTCAACGTAAATTGTGCCACTTGAAATGCTTTGTGGTTCGCTATTTTCCTGGAAAAGTTAACTGCAAATGAGCAGAGCTACGCCGACCACAAAAACGCATGGAGTACTTACAAATTATATGGATATTTTAAGGTTGAGGAACTTGCTGCACGTTATATATATAAGTATAACAAATTCAGAGACTTGTGCTGGTTCCCATCTACTTAAGGCAGGCCAAGTTTGTATGTTTGCATATGTAAATAAATATTCAATGACTTCTTGAGGCTATATTCCATGCACTTATCTGCTGCTTATCTTATTGTGAAATGCTTTTGATAACTGAATTGTTTCATTATGCGATTCTCATGCTTTGCTTACAAGTGTTTGTGGTTTAAATACATTTGAATTGATTTACGCGAACTAAGTTGAGATTCTTCATGATCTATCGAAAGTTAATTAATTAATCCTTGTAATTTTCTTCTTACATAAGTTGATTACCGGTCTAACTCTCTGTCGTCCGTGCTTCCCACAACTCTTGGCGCTTAACTTTCAGTTCCCTTAATATAATTGTAGATTTCCCTTTATCTTCGAGGAATCGTTG